GCATGTATAATGAGCTACACAAATAAATCGCTTGATAGCAAATTGTGACGAACTTTATACGTATTTTTAAGCGTTTAATGCATTTTTACACATTTTGCTGGGCTGCCTATGGAATACCACTTAATTTCAACTCTCGACATTATTTAATTGCATATAATATTCAAGTCATATATATTATATTGGTTTATAATATATTGACATACACCTCGATCACACATTTATAGCCTCTTCCGCAGGCAACTCTTGGGCACAAAATAATCAATTCGAGGGTTTTTATTGGGAACTATTAATATGAGGTATAAACGTTGAAGTTTCAACCATGCTTCAACTGACCCTAATATTATAACAGTTTCCTGTGGATCATGTGCATCAGGGCGCTTTATAATTTATATATATACTATAGCACCCTGATGCACAAGCTACTCATTTTACAAACAGAAAGCCTTGCACACGAAAATATTTAATTACATTTAAAATACCAAAGGTTTTATTACATTGTCACATTTCATATACTCACCCAATTTGGCAAATCTTTCATACGGCTTGTATCGTTTGCATCGACAAATTCAGCTGGCGGTTCGACTCCAAACTTTTTATCTTTTTTATAACATTTATAGAGTGTGTAAATAGCAATACCAGACAGTAGCCAACCATAGTTAAAATCCCAACAGCCAACCGACCACACAAAGAACCCTCCACCAAAATATTTGAAGAACGAGATTACACCGGAATATGCTCGGATTTTTGATGTGATAGGTGCAGTAGGTTTTTGCTTATTTTCAGTGGTAGATGGGTCTTTTTTACACACATCTTTCTTTCCACTTTCAACGTCAGTCATTGTGAAAAAACGCCTCTGAAACAAGCGGCTTGCTTCCAGAAGTTTACGTTATGCACAACTCACAACTGTTATGCTCCAAAGTGCAAAAGTTATGCATATTTTACTGTATTATAAATGCTCATTTATACAAACAAACGAATAAATTATACGAATAAATGATGCGAATAAATTAGCATATATTGTTTTAAAACAACAAAAATTGCAAATACGTTCGCCGTGAAAAAAGTTAAAAAAACGCAACAGAATACTTATTTTATGTGTAAAGTAAAACAGTGTCACAGAATAAGGCACACAGAAGGGCCCCTGGCCGCCATCTTCCTAGCCAGTCGATTACATTTTCTGGCCAATAAACGCGCTGTATTGGCTGGCCGCCATCTTCCTGGCCAGTCAATTGCATATTTTTGCATAGAAAAATGTGACACGTTGCACCGCTGAGTGGCCCTTCTGGTACTGATCTTTATTCTGTGACAGTGTGTTCAAAAGCAATACAGAAGTACGGAACTACAGAAGTATAGTAACAGAACTGCGGAGGCGTTTATTTGTGGGGGAGGCGACAAAAGTAGACGCCTGCCGTACCATTCCCGGAAATAGTTAATTTCTGAGTTCTGTTTGATATTTCAAGTCGTTTAGGCTTCAAAATTCAGTTGAGATCAGAACAGAGAGTCAATATTTTATGCAGACTGCTACAGAACATGCTCGTTTCTTCCCTGACGAAGTAACCCCAGCGAGTAGTCCCCCCCCCGAGTCCCCCCCCCTCCTAAGTGACTCGGGAAAAGGGACTGGGAAGCTTGCCAAGCAAGTGCTAGCAGCAGATGTGCTTGAATTTCTAACTTTGTCTTTCATCTCTCAACTCTCAGGAAACACGGAAAATGCTCTTTTGATGCTTCGAAGCAGGATTTTAATTTCCGAGCCCCTGCACCCCTATCCCTTCCCCCCGTTGGCTAAACCTCCCCAATACTGACGATTTGCTTCCGACGGCACTGGCATATATTGTACTCTGTTTACTCGGTGAGAAAAATGGCAGCTGAGAAGTGAGAAACACTCGCATGTTCCCTGATGTACTGGCAAATTTTATGTAGTATAACTATAGTCTATATAAGTAATACCAACGACAATAGGGTCAATTCCGAGGAAAACGTTAGTTGGGTGAACCCATTCCCCTAGTCCTAGAGATACCGGCAGAGGAGGCTAGGAAAACGTTTGGTTTGACCAAATATTAATCATCGAGTTCTAACACTCGGAGTAAGCTATGCTGTGAGCATGCAGTAACTCAGGATCGTCAGAAATGCAAATACAGTTTTTCACTATATTCGTTTCCGCCTAACCCTTGACAAGCTTGAACTTGTGCCCCCGCTTTTGCGTCCAATTTCGTACCACATACATAACTATCCACAGGAAAGCGATAATTTCAATTTTGAACAATCATATAAATTATTGATTGTTTTAAGATATTTATATATAGTCTAATATCGTAAAAGCAAAACTGTAGTCAGTATAGAATTTCTCTTTGCAACTAAAAATGTTTTGATTATTTGAAGATTAAAAAACGAAGAATTTTCTGATGGACTTAAAAAAAATGCTTACCCATGATGGCAAATCTCTCAAACGAGCCCGGATAACTATTTCTTCATCTTTTGCCAAAGCTTGTCCAACCTTTTGTTTCCAGTCGCGTTGCTCCTGCTTGGTTCTGACTATATAGAAGCCGATGGCCGCAATCAAAACCCACTGACAGCTAAAGCCAAACCAACCGAGCAGCCACACAAAAAGAAACAAGCCAAAGTACTTTAGAAAGCTGACAATCTTCTGCAGGACATACATATCTTGGAGTATTGTTCCTACACTTTCTGGCTTTGTTTCGTTAGTTTCTTTCTCATCTCCTTTCCCTTGCTCGTTGACGTTCGCGCAAACTGCCTTTTCATTTTCGGCCATTATTTACTGTTCACGTTATTAAGAGCGTGGCTCATTCAGAAGCTTATATATTTTCCTCATATACATAGCCTGTTTGGATCTTACGTTTGTTTACCCAATGACCGCATGTCAGAAGAGTGTAATTGGATTTTTAGCCAATGGCGTACTAGCTTGCTAAACATACAGCCGTCTGCCACTTCTACAAGAGGTTTTTCACAACAGAAGAATAGAAATATGATAAGAAGGACAACAGCTGGCTACAAGATATATACAGAAATTATTAGAAAATGAAAATAATTTTAAGTTTTCTTATTTCGTTTATAACAATAACATATCACAAGCTATTCTTTAGGTTTCCATAAATTCATATACCGAGTCAGACTAACCCGCAGGTTCCTCATTTACATAAAGCAACTGAAGCAGGTGGCTATAAGAAAAACGCGGAGTTTGGCAGCGATACGATCGAGCACAACAATAATAAATCCTGTAAATTTAACTTCGAGTTATTTATTGTGTCTGCATGTATAAATGCATAATCCATTTCATTTCCTCGTCAATAAGAAGCTGGAGTTCTCATGACATGTCACTAGGCTAATATTCTTTATTTACAGCCTTCTACACAATTATTAAGTTTTACAGCAGGTTTACAAGAGTTCAAAATAAGGTTCTTAGATCACAAATATCGGATTCAAATTTTCTTTCTATGTATCTCGCAAAATTATTTTCTCGTCTTGCGTCTATAGCGACTTTGTCATTTCCTGAATTCAGCCAATTCCTCTCTTTCATCCCGTTTCCCTCCTCTCTATAACTTTACGGTTATAGGCTTAAGGCTGTGTTTAACGAGATCAGACTAATGATCGGAACCGGACTCATATTTGCAAGGTTTTGTCTATTGTGCCGGTCAAGTGCATGGATTGCCATCATATAAACAAGTAGAACCGGATGAATTTCATACGGTTCTGAATTTGTCCCGTCTCCTAAAAATATTAATTGCTTTTTCAGAACCACACGCGCGCAGTTTTATCATGTATGTCGACCCCCCTAGTCAGACAGTGGAACCACAAAAAACTAATATAGTTCGAATAAAGCATTTATACTGACATACGAGGAATGGGATATATAATTAAACAAAATCATCTGTATTTTCATTAAATTCACTTCACACTTCATTATTACATGTCACTATTATCTTTTTCCGGTAAATGGAATGCTTCCTCTGTATTCTTGACGGAGAGAAATTGTGAATAGGTTGTCGATTACCCATGCATCTAGGCCATACAAAACGAAGTGCATGAACTTACAGTAACTTGACGCCTATATACTATAGACTATAGAGTATGTAATTATGATGTTCGATTATACATGCAAGGGCTAAATTAAAATACTTTCCTGACAAAAAATAATTATCAAGATACTGTTAGCGTTTTGGAGAAAATGAACTGTAATTATTTTGGAGACATATATAACCAATTTATAAGCACGCAAAAAAAGGTGGACGCATGAATAATAGTAATCGAATCTCTGATGAATGACTCAAATTTGCCTCATACTTTCAGCTATATATGCAAACTATTTGTACTCAGTCTGAAGGTTTCGTCTGAGGTTCAATTCTCATCATGCTGCTAGGGTTACTCACTTACTAGCTGCGAGCATTGTACATGCATGCATATATACACAACAGTATACCTTACTGTAATTCCTGAAATACAAAACAAACTGATCAATAATACAACTCAACTAATGCGATTTCAAGCGATACTATCAATCAATTGTCCAAATTTTTGACAACATTATTTCTGTCTATGACAACGTGTATTATATGTAAATGCTGCATGCATGCAAGTGCATGTAAGTGCATGCAAATAAGCACTCTCAGGTTTGATTGATGAGGTTTCATTTTGGCACAAAAACACATTTGTTCAATGTTTACATGCAAAGACAAACTTGCATACAAGTGAGTATACGCAGCTAACTTAAAACACACAATTAATATATGGACGCAAAGCTGGTGCCGAGAGCAAAGTTTGCGCAAGACCATGTATATATGATTAGGCGTTGTAATACTTCGGTTCTCTCCACATCCTGGCAAAAGCGCCTGCGAAAATATTTCAGGGGCGTAGAAACGAACAAATTATTGGGGGAAAGAGGCATGGAGCGGGGAAAGCACTACGAGAAAAGTCTAGGGCAGGAATTGTTTTGTATTTTATGAGGGCAGTTTTAACAAACCAATTGCTCAGCAACAATGGTTTTTGGAGGGCCGTGCCCCGTTCCTGTACCATTGTACTCAGAATTATCACCATGACGAGTTTTTATGAATTTTATGAGACACTGCAGTCAGTGCTCTGCTTGCTCATACTTACTGTATTTTTAATATCGTTTTACTCTTGAAGAACACCACATGTTGCTACTGTTAAATAGCAGAAGACATGTTTTCGTACTGCGGACAGTAGTTTGAAGCATTTAATTTCTCTAACAATACTCAATAGAATAGATATATTTACATTATTAATTACTAAATCATGACCGACGAAACAGCTCCTGCAACGCCAACCTGACATTACTGCAATACTGAATTTAAAAACTACAGTTCCTCTTTTGCCTTGGCTTTCTCTTTAGATAAAACTGTTGAATTTTCTTCCAAGAATTTAACAAAATCACTCAATTCCCGCGCACCTTCGTATTTTACAGGCTTCGACTTACCTCCTTTTGGTGCGAAAAAAATAGTTGGGAACCCACTGGCTTTGTATTCAGCTGGTACATCATTGGCTGTGGCATCCAACTTAGCAATAACAAGGTTAGCCTCGTCCCTGTATTTCTGAGCAAGTTTTTTATATGTCGGTTCTAATGCCTTGCAATGTCCACACCAAGGTGCATAAAGCTCTATTAAAACGTCTTTTGTTTCGTCAAGTACAATCTTTCCGAAATTGCTACCGACTACAACTTGAACAGGTCCAGGCTTTCCTTTGGGTACAGGTTGTGATTTTATTTCAGGCTGCAGTTCATCTGTTGGAAAGAAATTTACCATATTTAGGATTAAACGTAAAACTGCAGGTACTGAACTGACATGCACATGCATGATGTATACAAATGTATACAGTACATAGTGATGCATGGATAACATCTTCTAATATGGCTATTTAGTATTTTTGCACAAGTGAATATAACAAATCCTATACAAGTTGGTTGATTGGTCAAATTTGAGTATTAAGCTGTCATATTCACCTATATATAACAAAATCAAAATTTGCAAAATGGTGGCTAGCCGTTTTGTGTAAGTTACTGATAAAGAAATAAGCGAAATTAAAATAAATTCAGTCCCAAAAAACACAAAAGATTTGTGTAAAAATACTAAAACAATTATTCGCCTCAGGCTCGGGGAATATTCCCCGATAATCACCTCGCCTTCGGCGAATAATTGTTAAATATCCAATTTATATTGATACATTCGGGTATGAGTTGAGTTACAACCAAATTGGAATCCAAAATATACTTTAAAAAATACACTGTGTAAATTTGCTATAATACAATACTGATAATATCGGCGACAAAAATACCGAAATATTGAATTTAGGGCCGATATACTGATATCCGATACGCCGATATGGATATCGGTGCATCACTAATATTACAAGGCAGTCATACATATACAGACAATACAGATCTGTCTATATCGAGGGACGGACAAAATAAACACCGCGGAAAAACGTCTGCGCATGCACCAAATTATAAAAATATGGCGGGGAATTTGAATATCAATTTGTAAAACAAAAACATGCTTATTATTTCAAAAATTAGTAAAACAAACGAGAAAATATAGCAAATGGGTAGACTAGACATTAATTGAAAGCGTCCTGGCTTTTAAAGTATGGAATGAAATATAATTCATGTAAAAAATTGTTGATTTTAACGGACACGACTTCGAAAATATTTGCAAAATTATTCAAAACAAAAATTCAAACTCAAAAGTTAAGAAAACTCTCGAAAAGTTAAGCTTCTTAACCCACTTAAATTGTAGAATAAATCCTAAAGTTTAATTATTGTGAACACGAAAATTTTTTATATTTGGCGACACAGTTTTTTTTAAAGAAATGTATCTCAAACGAAAATTCGGAAATTGTCGTTGCTTAGTTGATAAACAAAATGTTTCACACGATAAATTTGTCAACAATCACCTTTAGTTCATGTTCTTGTACAATACAATTTCTTGAATCTTCTGGCTGTATTTATTCCTAGTTTTTAGGATGACATGTTTATTTTTGCGCTCGAAATCTGGCTGTAAAGACGCACAATGAAGTCACTCCTTTTTACCGCCATTTTGAGCCTTCGGAAACGTTCAGAACAGCTTCTCATCAAGTTCGCAATACTATTACAGGTAAGGTTGACGCATGCGCAGACGTTTTTCCGCGGTGTTGATGAGAAGCTGTTCCGAACGTTTCCGAAGGCTCAAAATGGCGGTAAAAAGGAGTGACTTCATTGTGCGTCTTTACAGCCAGATTTCGAGCGCAAAAATAAACATGTCATTCTAAAAACTAGGAATAAATACAGCCAGAAGGTTCAAGAAATTGTATTGTACAAGAACATGAACTAAAGGTGATTGTTGACAAATTTATCGTCTGAAACATTTTGTTTATCAACTAAGCAACGACAATTTCCGAATTTTCGTTTGAGATACATTTCTTTAAAAAAAACTGTGTCGCCAAATATAAAAAATTGTCGTGTTCACAATAATTAAACTTTAGGATTTATTCTACAATTTGAGTGGGTTAAGAAGCTTAACTTTTCGAGAGTTTTCTTAACTTTTTAGTTTGAATTTTTGTTTTGAATAATTTTGCAAAAATTTTCGAAGTCGTGTCCGTTAAAATCAACACTTTTTTACATGAATTATATTTCATTCCATACTTTAAATGCCAGGACGCTTTCAATTAATGTCTAGTCTACCCATTTGCTATATTTTCTCGTTTGTTTTACTAATTTTTGACCAATTAATAAGCATGTTTTTGTTTTAAAAATTGATATTCAAATTCCCCGCCATATTTTCATAATTTGGTGCATGCGCAGACGTTTTTACGCGGTGTAGGGTGGGGGTTGGTGGGGGTGGGTCCACTGAGCTATAATATTACTGGAGGACGTGCTCCTATCTATCCGTCAGTCAAACGAGTGTCCGGAAAAACATGGCGGATTTTCATGTTTGCTGCAGTGAACTATATACATGGAAGGCTGACTTCAGTCAGTTACGTAATCAAAAAGTGAAGTCAAAGATGGCGGATTTTGAAGCCATTCTTGCGCGTCATTCTCAGTCTCCTTACCCGCGCGGCAAAACATTTTTTGTATTTTCATGGCGGGAAGTGATGGATCCGCGACTCTCGGGTTGTGTTTTTCTTCATTTTAAAAGAGCAAAAAAGAAAATAAACTTTATTTATTTCATGTAAACCTGATTTCCTTCATCTAATCTATCAGTCTGCTGCATTTTCCCACTGTATGTGTGAGTAAATCTGTATTTTTCGTTGCGAATTTAAACACTAATTTCAAACTTTTTTTTTTTTTTTTAATAAATCTGTATTTTTACTGATAAATAGGGAATTTATTTGAGCTTTGGTTGTTTCGCTTTCTTGTTTTTATGGTGATTTTCAGTTTTCACACCATTATTTAGCTTATTTTAGTCCGTTTTCCTGACCTAAAATTGCTTTTTAACTGCACTTTTCGAGCCAGTTTTTATCTAATTTAATTCCATACATGCAAGAAAATTTTGTTTTTTTATTTTTATTTAATAAAATCACTATGATGATTGTCTTATAAACTTAAACTGTTTATTTTAATGAGTTATTTATATGTGTGAAACCCTTGTCAATAGGGGCAATACAGATATTTTGAAAGATTGAGTGACATTTGTGTTTTGTTTGTCACTCCTTGTCATTTACAAAAACAACAATCCCGCGCTATTTTGCTTTCTTTCCACTCAAATATCGCATCTTTTAAATAAATAATAATTAAAATTTAGAACTGAACCCAAACAAAACACCAGAATTCAACTTTTCATTCATATCTAGTCTGTTTTTCACCAGATTTACGGAAAATAAAGAAAAATATAAAAAAAGTTTGGCCGCGCACGTAAGGGGACTGAGAATGACGCGCAAGAATGCCTTCAATTGACCACTTGCGTAATAGCGATGCCCGCTAAGCATGACGGTAGGAGGCTGTAGGTTGCTTTCGAACGAAATGGCTGTCGCATGAGCGAGCGATTTCGTTCGGGAGGAAACAACGACGGATCTTTTACTCTATTCGGCTTCGATCAATAGCAATTTTGTGTGGAAAATAACGAGGGTGTTTGGCAGTGCTCATGTGGAAAATTTAAAGAAATTCGGCTCATTAGTGGCGAACAAAATTTGTTGTGAAGACGACCAGTTGTACACACACCTCCCCTAAATTCGCTCGCGAAAACTTGACCACATCAACCAAACAGGTGAGTTAGCTTTTCTACTGGCGATCGGCTAAATTTTTTTGAAAAATAAGCCCAATCGATAGTTAATCTCATTAGATTTCAAGGTTATTTTAATCCTATAGCTTCAAAAATGCCATTTTTAGCTTCATGAAAATGACAAATGTTAGCCAAAATTTTGTTCGAATTTGCCATTGCCAGCTATGCCATAGCCTGACAAAATGTTTTGAAGATGTTTTGGCGCAAAAATATCTGAATTTAAATGAGTTGTTTCTAGCTGTAACAAGAAAATATAAAGTTGAAAGTGTTTTTCATCGTTTTCTGCTGTTGTTTTGTCCTCGAGCTGAAGTTTGCTTTGGTTCTTATCCTTCATTCTAGTTCGATAAAATACTCGTGAGTTAAAACATAATATTTACATATAAATTATTAATTTAAATTAGCAAAGTCTTGTATTAATAAATTTTTAGCTAGCATATAAACATTAGATAGGATTATTTTAATTAAATTAATAGGAAGTCAATTTAAAATTAGGTAGATAATAACTATAGGATTAAACAACTCACATAGGGCTAAGGCTAAGCAAATAAAATATTTTAAATAATATAATGGAGGGTGAAACAAGCACTTCACATGAGGCAAACAATGCTGCTACAGAATTGAAAAGGTGGACAAGGGACTTACATGGCCTCCCATCATTTACGTATGAGTTACTAACTAAGCATTTTGGAACTGAACATGCTGGTGCTGGTGCTCAAAAACACAAGAAACTAGGTTATCAATTGTTTAAAGATAAATATGTTGGGCAAGTTAAGGTTAAAAAAAATGTCACGAAAGGCAACATGACGTGTTTCCTAGTTAAAGGCTGTGTAAATGCTGCTATGAAAAACAATGTGTACACTGTATATGTTCATCTAAATGAAGCTAATGGGGAGGTTGTGCACAGCAACTGTACATGTACAGCAGGGAAAGGTGGGCAGTGCAAACATGTTGTTGCTCTGCTATTTCAAGTAATTGAATATAAACAATTAGACATGACAGAAATCCCTGATAAGCCCACTTGTACACAATTACTACAGCAATGGCATGTACCAAGGAAAGATGAATCTGACAAGCCTGTTTCTTTATGAGAACATGGCATTTAAAAAGGCCACATACGAAAAAGATGTTGTGGGTAAAAAGAGGAAAAACGAGCAACAAGCCCCAAATATGCATGACCCCATTCCACATTTTGCACAGAATATTACAAAACCTGAAGTTCAAAAGTTGGCTAATGCTTCTGTGAGCCATACCCTTTCAAAAGCATGCATCTAGATATACCATCTAAAAAGAGATACACTGATTCAATGCAACTTAACATTAATGACCCTAGTGTTCGTGATAAAATTTTTAAAAACCTACAACCTACAACAGCCGAGGAAACTGTTACACAATGTCAATGTGAAACCATTAAAAATTTACAATCATCTGTCAAAACCTCATATGAAGAAATAGTTGAAATTGAACGAAACACTAGGGAACAATCATCCAAAGACCGGTGGTTTGAGGAACGTGGAAAACGACTCACCTCGTCAAATTTTGGTCCAATAGTTAAGCGCAGGCGGCAAAGGTACCCAAAAACATTAATGTCAAACATTAAGTCTAGTCGGTCTAAGTGCCCAAAACCGTGCCAGTGGGGAAAAGACAAGGAGTGTGAGGCTATCATGGAATATAAGAAAACGAAAAAACAACAAGGAAACATTGATGTGTGCGCACATTGTGGTTTTGTAGTAAATTCAAGGTTTCCATGGTTGGGTGCCAGTCCTGATTTTTTAGTGTTCGATGGGGCAGAAGCCAACTCATTTGGTATTGGGGAGGTGAAATGCCCATTCTCAAAAAAAGACATGACTGTTGATGAGGCATGCAAAGACAAAAACTTTTGTTTACAAAAACTTAATGGGAAGATACAGTTAAAAAAATCACACAATTATTTTTACCAAATTCAAGGGTGCATGGCCACACTGAATGTTAGTTGATGTGATTTTGTTGTTTTTACAAATGTTGACCTACACATTGAGAGGATCTATTTTGACATTGACTTTTGGCATAAAATTGTCCCAGAGCTAAGCAGTTTCTATACTGAATATATGTTACCAGAATTGTAATAAATAGTATGATATAATTTGTGCATTGATATATAAATGCTACATAATTCAAGGCTCACAATAGAACCAACAGTTTAAGATTGTTTATCCTTAATTATTGGCGGTAAAAACAATGTTAAGTAGGAGCAAACACTCCAAATTTGTTCTAAGTTTTCAGCCAATGTCAATGGAATAACTTGGCGCAAGATTCTGTAATTTTTTATCCTGGCTATTGCACGCTCAACATGAACCCTGACTGATGCGATTTTGTGTGTTTTAGCTTCATCTTCTGCCGATAATTGAGGCTGTCCGTTTAGAAATGGCGGAATGTTTAACAATACTCCGCTTGGAATATCAGCCTCGATATCAAATCCCCTATCTGCCATTATTTCATCTCCAGGCTCCACCAGATTTAGAATGCCACAGTCGTTGGTAATTTTTTTGTCGCTTGTGCGCCCCGCATATAAACATGAAACAAAACTTGGGTATCCACTGGGTGAAATACCAATCAGGCCCTTTGCAGTGTTGTGGTGCTTGTAACTAGAAAATGTGATTGACTGACTCCTGCATGATGAGGGCATTTCAATAAAGATTTCAGTGCAATCAATAATCACTCTGGTTTTTGGATAGGCTTGCTGAAAGCAGGGGGGCATGTTTTCGTCAATAAATATGCGACTGGGCCAAATTGATAGGGAACGAAGGCGGTGATGTAAATAAATAATCCAGGTTTTAAAAATTCGAGACACATGACTTGCTGAAATGTTAAATCGATGTGCAATATCTTGGAGAAGTAACCCCAAACGTAACCTTACCAGAACAAGAAATAATTCTTGTTCTGGTGACAGGGATCTTGGTTTGCCACATTTGTTTTGAGATTCCGAAGTTACAGGGGTGGTGTGTGTGCCAAAGTACATAAGATGTTCACAAGCTGGTGAAAGGTAATCGTAAAAAGCTTTAAAACATGAATAATTGGGAAAGCCAGTGTAGAATCTAAAGTCACTGTCACTGCTTATAAATTTTTCAATACGAAATAAACCACATTTTACATTTTCAACATCTTTGTCAAATTTTGCTTGCATAGCTGTTTTCTGAGTCTCAAGTAGAGTTATTTTGTCCTTCAGTTGATTGATAGTATCTTCAGTGTTATTATCTTCAGTATTATTATCTTCAGTGTTATTATCTTCAGTGTTATTATCTTCAGTGTTATTATCATTCTCGGGTATTTCCACAATGGATGGTGTTTCAAGATCAGGCGGAACAACTGTTATTCTTACAGCTGCCCCAGCTGTTTGGTTTACTGGTTGTGCATGTGGTGAAGACTGTTGGAATAGTGTTGTCGTAGGATTTTTTGCCATCCACAAAATGCTTTGAACATACTCTGTGACTAGGACCAGGGTCCCTTACGCCTTTCCTTTTCAACAATTGTACCCATTTTTTCTTTACACCCGTTTTCAAAATTACGCGACCTCCCTGAAAAATACTCTTACTTCAAATGTCAGTTTTATGTCACAAAAAAACTGCTAAAAATAGCAAACGTAAACAAACTGTCAAAAGACATTTTAAACTGTATTTAATACCAAAACTGAACAAAAATGAGTTGGATAACTTAGATATACAAACTAAAGCACGATACAAACCATCACAACAGAAATAGGTGCCGTGAATAACTTTTAAAGTTTGAAAAATAACAATTTATCCTGGAATTTAGCTGTCAGTGATCGTCAGTATAAACCACGCGCGCTAGACTATAACGGTGATGTTATGATTTTGTCTGTGCTTAAATTTTGCAATAATTCTCACTAAAATATCTTGAAAATCATTGTAAGTCTGTTTATATAAAGCATACAAAGCATATACATCGACAAGGAACCGCAAAACTCAAAGTTTAAACTTCATGACCGAATGACTTAAAACTGACAACTTAAAAATGTCAACTCTAGCATTTTCGTCCTTGGTCGCGTAATTTTGAAAACGGGTGTAATATTTCAGGATTTTTTGGTATTTTATGAAATGATAACTCTGGATTTTTTCTGGTATTACTCTGACATTGTGGTATACAACAATATCTTTTCCATATTCTAGTGACCTCAGTACTTTCAGCATTGTTTGCCTCATGTGAAGTGCTTGTTTCACCCTCCATTATATTATTTAAAATATTTTATTTGCTTAGCCTTAGCCCTATGTGAGTTGTTTAATCCTATAGTTATTATCTACCTAATTTTAAATTGACTTCCTATTAATTTAATTAAAATAATCCTATCTAATGTTTATATGCTAGCTAAAAATTTATTAATACAAGACTTTGCTAATTTAAATTAATAATTTATATGTAAATATTATGTTTTAACTCACGAGTATTTTATCGAACTAGAATGAAGTATAAGAACCAAAGCAAACTTCAGCTCGAGGACAAAACAACAGCAGAAAACGATGAAAAACACTTTCAACTTTATATTTTCTTGTTACAGCTAGAAACAACTCATTTAAATTCAGATATTTTCGCGCCAAAACATCTTCAAAACATTTTGTCAGGCTATGGCTGGCAATGGCAAATTCGAACAAAATTTTGGCTAACATTTGTCATTTTCATGAAGCTAAAAATGGCATTTTTGAAGCTATAGGATTAAAATAACCTTGAAATCTAATGAGATTAACTATCGATTGGGCTTATTTTTCAAAAAAATTTAGCCGATCGCCAGTAGAAAAGCTAACTCACCTGTTTTGGTTGATGTGGTCAAGTTTTCGCGAGCGAATTTAGGGGAGGCGTGTGTAAAACTGGTCATCTTCACAACAAATTTTGTTCGCCACTAATGAGCCGAATTTCTTTAAATTTTCTACATGAGCACTGCCAAACACCCTCGTTATTTTCCACACAAAATTGCTATTGATCGAAGCCGAATAGAGTAAAAAATCCGTCGTTGTTTCCTCCCGAACGAAATCGCTCGCTCATGCGACAGCCATTTCGTTCGAAAGCAACCTACAGCCTCCTACCGTCATGCTTGGCGGGCATATCGCTATTACGCAAGTGGTCAATTGAAAGGCTGCGTAATTTTTCATGTTGGCATTAAACGGATATTATACTACCGAAAAATAGTAAAAAAATGCCATGGCCACTCACCTGTAACATTGCTTGGAAATACATTTGTACATTTCGGAAAGCAGCAAAGCAGCAACCTTATTCCAGTCGTGCACAACGGGTCAAGAACATGTGTTCAACCAACATCAATCTCTCAAAGGAAATCTGGTGTGAAGTCTTAAATCAAGGCTGCAGACAGGGATGAAGAGAAAGTGGCAAGCTGATGATAAGGAAAAAATGAACGTAAGGAAATTATCCAAAAAGATACGCCAACATAACTTGAGTATGAATGTAAAGAAAAACCTAGCAAATGCTGAACCAAAATGATAACAAGTAGTAACAATCAAGCCCACAGGATTAAAGAGATATTTCAAAAAGATGATAGTAACTGAAGAGTAATAACCTTGAATAAACATTGCCTTATTACACCCATATTTTTGCTGCTGTTGGAAGAAAACTACCTGTGAACATTGCATTTATTGGACCTATGTTCCTGCTGCTTTTGGATGAAAAACTACCTTTGAACATTTACAGCATTTACTATCCAAACCCGCTTGTGTTGACACAAATATTACCAAGACAGTATTTTCTTTTTAGACCTAAAGTATACTGTGATCCTAATGTGGCTGTCAGAAGAAACCTGCCTTTGAACATTGTACTTATCAAACTTGTGATCCCATCGCTGCTTTTGGAAAAGTGTTATGTTTTGACATTGCACTTATTAACCCATTCAGTGGCAGCACTCTCTACTTGACAAGTAAAATTATCTGGTGTTAGACAGAATATAACAATAAAGTAGGGCCATCTACCTGTGATCCGGTTGGGAGAACTTTGGCTTCAAGTTGCTCAAAACATCCATTGCTGTTGGAAGGAATGCATAGTGACCATGAACATTTTTCTATCATTTGTACTACCTGTATAATTAAAAAAATATCGCTTTTATACTGGTCTTTCACATGCTTGTTTACATGTCGTCTTTGTGTGTATTTTTCTCACTCTGAATAAGTCCATATAATAAACAGAACATTAAACGGTTGCGAGAAGATATATATGTTCTAATAAATGACAACCAGTTAGTCAATTGTCAGCTGATACATCAGTCGGGCATTCTACATACAATATTTTGTTGACAATCGACAGTATTCATTGCTCAGTTGTGTTCCATATGTTGGTGATATATGTGAGCTTAGTATGAACTTAGTATAAGGCTATATCATTTTAAAACTGATTCAGTCACACTCCACTTATTATGACTTCCAAATGGGCATGTTGTTCCAAGACCCACCGGTGGGTTAGAAACACACCTCCCTTGTCATGCTTGGAACCTGATGATATCATGACTGTTTCTCTTTTGAAACAGATAATAATGGCAATACCACAGTAGCTTAACTTCTGCAAAATACTGTGGTTCTGGTTTATTCACCTTTCTTCAATAGACCTGGGTTTTTGTGCAATACTATCCAATCATTCTCTCCATACTCTTTTTCTAATTTTTTTCATATTCACCATAAAACACCCTTTAATATAGACACAACATAATTTACCCATTATTCATAACCTATAGATTTCCATCCAACCAACATGTCACATAATATATTCCTGTATATATCTGTTCCATCTTCAACAATCATGGCTTAAAAATTACCATCGAAGCCAACAAGAAAATAGTAGATTTTTTAGACGTCACCCTGAATCTGTCTACCCAAAAGTATCAGCCGTTCACTAAACCCAACAATATTCCACTTTACGTCCACAACAAATCAAACCATCCACCCAAAATACTAGACAACATACCAGCAGCGATCAACAAGCGCCTTTCTGAAATTTCATCTGATGAAGACTCGTTTCAGCGTGCAGTGCCATTATATCAAGAAGCCCTAACAAAGAGCGGTTATCGACATAAATTGAAATACCAACAACCTCCGACATCCCAAAACACCATCAACTCAAGGAGTCGGAAACGAAATATAACCTGGTACAACCCACCGTTCAGCAAAAATGTCGCTACTAATATTGGTCAGACCTTTTTAAAGATTCAGACGAGGAATTTCCCGCAGGCCATATCTTACACAAGATATTCAACAGAAATACCATCAAGATTAGCTACAGCTGCATGAGTAATTTTAAACAAAACATCGACGGACATAATAAATCCAAGCTATCCCACCGAGCTAAAACCACCGAGCTAAAACCACCGACGAAAAAAAATGCAATTGCCAAAAACCAAGTGAATGCCCTATGTCAAAAAATTGTCTAGCAAAATCTGTTATCTACCAAGCCACAGTAAAAACATCTGACAAGCGGCCCACTCAAACATATGTTGGACTAACAGAAAATGAATTAAAAACTCGATACACCAATCACAAAGCTTCATTTAATAACCATGAGAAGCGTAATTCTACTGAATTAAGTAAATACATCTGGAATCTTAAGAACAATAATATTAGTTACTCTATCAGATGGAAAATTTTAAAACGTGCTAAATCTTACAGTAATGCATCCAAGAGATGTAACTTGTGTATCTGGGAGAAGTATTTCATTATTTGTAAACCGGACATTGTAACACTTAATCGTCGCAACGAACTTGTCTCCACGTGTAGACACTCTTCGGTGGCCAAGTGGTTAGCGCACTTGCCTTTCACCTCTGAGGCTGCAGGTTCGAGTCTCACTAAGTACCTTCTCAGTGCGACTCGAACCCAGTCCCCATGTGAAAAGAGTAAAGGTCAACGCTCTGCCGAAAGCCGTGGGTTTTCCCCGGGTACTCCGGTTTCCTCCCACAGGGAAAGTTGACAGGGTGGGTTAGGTAAAAAGGGCCCACAGTAATTGGCATATGCTGTTGTGGTGACCCTGCCCTAGTTGGCAAAGCTAAATAAATAAAAAAAATAATAAACACGCTAATAAATTTCTACTTAAAAACTTTATAACTTGATACTAATATTTTCGTGACACTACTTGAGGTGTTAATTGATTTGTAATTAGATAAGCGTCCTTTATACCATCTGTACATATTTAAAAAGTTTGTTAAGAAGCTATAGGTCAAACATAGGCTATTTTATCTGAAGAGTGCCACGTTATTTACGTGGTACGAAACTGTATAGTAATAAATATGCCAAACAAGGCTTGCTAACTTTTTGTGTCTTTCTATATATATATATATATATATATATATATATATATATATATATATATATATATATATATATATATATATATATAGATATATATAGATATATATAGAATATATATATATATATAGATATATATAGATATATATGATATATATAGATATATATATATATATATAGATATATATATATAGATATATATATATATATATATATATATATATATATATATATATATATATATATATATATATATATATATATATATATATATATATATATATATATATATATATATATATATATATATATATATATACATATATATATATACATATATATATATACAGGGTGTATCAAAAAAAACTGAACAGATTTGAAATTGCTCTGACTTTCGCAAAACACCTATTTATATCCGGTTTTTATATATATAGCTTCTTTGGGTACTTATAATGTAGAATAATGAAAAAATTTTCTCGAACTCAAATTTTGTGAACCAGGGGGGTGTGTCTTTTCCAACAAATTAAAAATGGCTCGCGCACAAAATTTAAAAGCTGGCATCATATTTTGAGTTAATAGGTGGAAAATTTGTCGGGTTTTTAATTACTGTACAAAATTTCAGACAATTTGGTTTAGTTTAAGTCCCTTAACTATTCACGCAAAGTTACATTTTTCCTAAAAATCAGCTATTTGCATGCTTAATTAATGCATTTGCCTAATTTGCATATGTCAGCAATATG